GGTTCTTAGATTTTTTAATATTAAAGGATGAAATGAAAGGTTAAGAGTTAGAAGCACCTTTGATCTCTCCCTGACCCTCTCCTGACTTTTGTGTGACTTCAAGCATGTCACTTAACCCTCCCAGTGACCCCAGCTGTGAAGCAGGGCTGCCTGGTGTCACCGAGGGCTGGTGAGCAGCAGCAAATCACAGTCCTGGTGTGAGCAGAAGCACCTGCCAGACCCTCCTGCCCACACAATGAGAAGTGAAAGGTAATTTCCATGTCAAGTGGTCCACACATTGAATGTCTGTGGGAGCAATCATAGGACAGCCCACAAAAATATGTTGCTTTTCTCTTCCTACCAAAAAAATCTACATTTTAAACAAAATACTGTTGAATTTTAGACCCCCCCAAAGCATATTGTAATGTATCTTTAAAAAAACAGTTGAATTTTGGGGAGAATAAAGATACCTTGAATTGGATTTTTATACTATCGGATTTAGAACATTTCTTGCCTCAAAAGGGAGCATTTTGAAATGATGCTCATCATGTTCTAAAAATAATTATTTGATCATGGCTGTATGTAACTCAGGAAATGTGTTTCTGATGAGAGAGAGAGAGAGAGAGAGAGAGTGTGTGTGTGTGTGTGTGTTTAACCACAGGTAGACAAGACAATTGCAAATAAGTAGAGCAGAAAACAAATAAAAATACAGTTAGCCATCTTGCAAACCGAACCTTTCCATGCCACTAGTGCCTTCTGTAAAATCTTTTCAAACCGCAATGCTTGGAGGATTTAATACATTTCTCAAGATTGCTTCCTTCCTAATTGGGAGGCAAGCCTGCCTCACAGGATCGTCCTGTTTCCTGTTCGTAGCTCATGCGATCGTTGGTGGACTGCTCTGGGTCTCTGCTGCTTTTCCACGAGCATTTAAATGGACCATTTGATTAATCATTTGTATACTGACTGTAATCCTCCCAAATTTCCTTTCTGAGGTGTACATACTGTAGAAGACAATTATGTCGCCACAGATTAAATAAGTGAATTAAAGCAGAATAGCAGCTTAATTTGACCTGTGATTTTGCTCCCCGCCCCTTTAGTGGAGCGAGTGGTGTACCACTCTAGCAAATAGATGAGGTCACTCATGACAGCTCGTGATGAATTGCCGTATTTATACTGTATATTTTAATAGCCTCACACTAATTTAAATTGAGCACAGAGTAAATTATAACTCAGTCACTTGACTGCTTGTATTTAACTTGACAACTCATCCTTATTTGTCCTGGAGGGGTGGGGGCAGCAGCAGACATGCACTCAGGTATTTCCATGCCTCACTTAACCGCTTCTCCAGGAAGTGCGCCCCGGTTTGAACAAGGTAGCTCTTCCCAAGGAGACAAGGAATAGTAATGACAACAACTCTCTTCTCCACGCCCCTCCAAAAGGAATGGGACTTGTTCATTTTCCGTAGTTTTAAAACTCACCCACAGGAATGCCCAGGGTATGGAGAATTAACCTTCTGCCCGAGTGCCAACCCCCCCCACCCCCACCCAAACAAGAGAAGAGCCTTTCAGCAGAGCTATTTGAAGGTGTGTTTTACTTCTCCACTCCAGTCCCCAAGAATTCCTTTTCTCACTAGACCTCCATCACGAAGTGTCCACTGTGAGGGACTGTCGAGCCAGCCCCGAGCCTGACGGAGGCCTGGTCGAGCGCAGTGAGAACCACATTTGAGGCCACCATGACCGTGTTAATTAAAGCCTGCAAAACCCAGAGCCTGTGTGGGGCAGAAGCCCATCAGAGAAGGAAAGCTCAAACCTTTCCCAAGAAACCAAGCTGTAGAAAAGAGGGAGGGGGCACCCTGTCAAGGCAGACACCTTATGAGCCTGTCAAGTTCCGGCTCTCACAGGTTGCTGTCTATGTCTTTCATTTGAGATTCCGTTGTGGAAAGCTGATTATGTAGAATCTTATGGTGGTAAGGACCACTTGAATTAAATCTCACATCACTTACTGGGTACAGTGTGAAAAGAAAAGAAGTGCTGGTTGCTGGGAGGCAGACTGAGGCCTAAGACTGACCCCTTGTCCTTGAAGAGCCCGTACTTGTCGAGCAGAGAGGTCTGATTTCAGGAGATGAACCATAAATTAGAGGCAGACCGTGCTACCGAGAGGTACGCCGGACCAGAGCTGGCCGTGAATTCGGATGGAGGGCTTCCTGGAGATGATGGCAGTGGGATACACGCTGGATCCTCAAAGACAGCGAAGGGTTTATCATCTAGCTGGAGTGGAAGAGGAAGCACATCCCAGCCGAGGGAATGGAAGGAGCAAGGACCGGGAAGTGGAGGGAAGCCTCGACCATCTATGTGGACCAGGAAGAGGCTCTGATTCCCAGTGAGGATTGGGTTTCGGAGGACAGATTCAGTAAAAAAAAGTGTTAGGAAGTGGAGCTACATGATAGAAGAATGAGCCAGATGTCATGCTAGAGTTTTAACTTTATTATTAAGGAAACGGCATGGGGGCCACATGTGACCACCAGCCCAAGGCCAGTTCATATGAGACAGAGGTCCGACATGACACCACATGTCCCTCCCACAGCACTTTACTTCTCTGCGGGGTTTGATAATCGCTCGCAGTGCCCACACAGAGCTCACTGGCAATACTCATGATCACGAGGGTTTATTAGGGTACAAACAGGTTACATTTCAGGATCAAAACCAGCAGCTCTCTAGTCAGGAGTGCCTCTTCTCAGCCAGATCCGCAAGCATGTCACTCTCTGGCCCTTGGCCCCTCAACCACAAAGTTCCTTGAACTCTGCCCAGCTTGGGCAAGTGTTGCAAAGCTCCTTTGATGCCAATAAAGGTCCAATGGGCTGCAAGCCAGTCTCCTTTCCTATTTTCGGCCCCACTGCCACCTCTGCCATTGCCACTTCTCTGTGAATGGATATCGGTCCCAATAACGTGTTCTGCCCTGGCTTTTCTTTCTTGATGGTCATGAAAACTCTTCCCCAGTTCCTGCCTCTGAGGAGACTTACTTTATAACAAGGGGGATGACAAAATCGACCAATCCCCATGTTAGAGCCCCATACACCTTATTGGCATGTGCCCAACCACTCATTTGGTGGAAGTTACAAAGGCTTATGGCTAGAAAGAGCCATATTCAACTACACCACAGATTTAGGCTGTGGGAACTCGGTCTAGGTTCATGATCAAGGGAATTATATGTTCTCAGCCACAAGTTTGGAATTTTCCAACATGTTGGCTAGCCATGTAAAATCATGTCATTTCTAGATTGATAGCTTAGATGTACAACGTAGTCATACTACTCAGTGGATAAAGGGCATTTTTGAAACAAGTAAGTGGCTCTGAAACCTGCTATGGATTTGAAATCACTTGGGATGTTGTTTTGCTTTTATTTTAATGTTTTAATACTGAAAATATGGGCCCAACCCCAGAGATTCTGATTTAATTGTTCTGGGGTTAGGCTTGGGCATGGGAAAATTTTTTTAAGTGTCCAAGGAAATTATAATGTGAGGCCGGACTTGAGGATTCAGCGTTGATGTAAATAATAACTTCATTCCTTGTAGCGTAGTTTCTGAGGGTGAGAGATGCCCTGTATTTGACATGGTGCTATGCAGAATAGCTGTAATATTTTATGGCGTAGAATTGACAGGACAGTGGGTGGATTCCTACGGGAAAAAACGTGAGTGAATATTGTCAGCAAGTGCCTATTGATTGGGAGAGATGTGTAAGTGTTTCTGGCAGTTTTGTATTACACTGACAATCGGGTTTAGTGCCTGCTTTTATAATAACCCTAAAGCAAACCCTGGATAGAAACTGGTTATACCTTGCTTTTCCTTTTCACCTCCTCCCATACCACCAATGGATGTCGCTACTATAAAATGTGTGTTTGAGAATGATCCTTTTATTTCCTAGATCTGAGCCGTTTATAACTTTTGATTATTTTTTCCAGCATGAGTATATATGTATTCTTCTTATAATATAAAAGCTAGTTCATTGTTGAATGCTGTATCCAGACATTTTTCAAGTCAGAAGCTTCTGCTACAAATCCTAAAGCCTGGCAACATTTTTTTGTTTTGTTTTCTTATACAATCCATACATCAATTGTATCAGGCATATTTGTACATATGTTCCTGGTAACTTGTCAATTCTCATCACTACCTTAAAAATTTTTTATTACAGTATATTTTTTTGAGAGGAAAACAAAAACGTGCTTTGAATTGGTTTTGCCACAGTGCCAAATGAAATTTGACCATTTGATTGATTTACTTCTTAAAAAACAAGTGTTTTAAATGAATGAGAATTTGTTGTAGGTGAGTTTATAAATAAACTCCTTTGCTACAAGTCTGACCCAGTGGTTGGCATTTTACTGAGCGGCACAAGACTGGGACTCACCACAGGCCACAGGGCGCCTTGGTTTTATTCTTCTCTACAAGAAGGATGTTAGATTAAATGACTTTAGCGTTTCCTTCGAGCGATAATATTCTATAACAATATTAGTAAAGAAATATTACCCAACTGGAAGAATATTAAAAAAAAGATTTATTAAGAAAACGCTCTCATTTTTCTCCTAAGTAAAAATCTCACTTTAGCTGTTTATTCATGGTCCTTCCCACACTGAATCACAAACAGTTCTTTTTTTTAATGGTTTGAGGGTCATTCCTATCGTCCTGTTCTGAAAATAACCAATGTGGCCAAAATCGGGTATATAAATTAAGAATGTTATAACTTAACTGACTTTTAAAGCCATTAATGCTGACCTCTGAGCCCTGGCTTTCTCCCTGGCTCCATCAATCACTGCTGGACCATCTCCCCCAATACAAAGGGTGAGACAGATGTGTATACAGGGTGCTTTACGGGAGCGTATCGGGGACCAGGGGTGGCGGGGGAGGGAGAAAAGAGGTGGAAATAAAGGAAACAACCTTTTAAAAATAGTTTTTATATTTCATAGTAATTATAACTGTATTTCATTGAAGGAGAATAAATGTCTGAATATTGATACCTTTCCATATCTAGGTCATACTACTAGATATTACACTGGAACTTCAGAAGCAAATTATGTCTGAATTGGAAATTCTTTATAAGGTAATTTTTATTTACTCAGTTATTTCTACCTACAAAGCATGCTTATTGTATTGACATGCAGGTTTTTAAACCACTTTTGTCTTGTTTCTGTTGCAGTGCGATTCATCATATATCATAGGTTTTTATGGTGCTTTTTTCGTAGAAAACAGGATTTCAATATGTACAGAATTCATGGATGGTGAGTTTCTGCTGTACAATCTTTTCAAAACAGTTTTTCGAGTAAAGCGCTATAAAATCTAGTTTTGCTGTAGATCTCAAGTAGAATTAAAATATATTAATAATTACTTTCTTTATACTCTAAAAGCATTTTAGTGTGAAGTGTTATTGGTGTTAAGTATTTGTTGCTGAGTTATAATTTCAAGAACGTAATTTATTCATTTTTATTGAAATTTTAAATAGAACAGATTAAATGCTCGTCTAATCGTTGATTTGATATTTGATTCTTCTATACAATCTGTCTTTACTTGTAAACAGATGTTCTGTTCTTTTAATGTTTCAATAGCCAAACAGATTTTCTTCTAAAGAAATCTATTAACCCAATGTCCTGTGTCTTTCAGAAAGAAATCAGTTCTTAATTGCAAGATAAGAAATTGTCTTTTAACACAGCTGTTTAGTCAAAATGTGTATAGTTTTATTTGGACTTTACCCCTTTCCATCCATATGTATTTCACATTGATGAATTTTTTGGTAGGAAATACAGATTTCTTGGTACCCGATCAGTGAAACAATGTTATCACTGTTGCTATTTACCTCTTGTGTCTAAGCAGTCTTTAAAGATTACATACTTCATTCTTCCATGTGCAGCTAATGGAAACTCAACATCTTACTACATACTTCCATTTTGGGGGGTCGCAGCATATTGCTAAAGCAGATTCATTCATGACTTGCAAGAGTGAACAACTTGTACCTTGATACCATGATGGGTATATAATACATTGTAAAGTAGTTCTGGTAGATGCGGTGTTAGTCTGGGTACTTTAGAGAAACAAATCCACAGAAACTTATGTATAAGAGAGAGTTTTATATAAAGGTTAAGTGTACATCAAGAAAACAACCCAGTACTGCCAAAGCCCACAAGTCCAACATTAACCTATATGTCCAACACCAATCCACAAAGTCCTCCTCCATCTCACAAAACACACATAGTGATGCCAACTGCAGGAGGAAAGCCGAGTCAGTGAATGTGTAAGCATCTCAGCGCTGGCAGGGGTCTCCACACGGGTGCTCCTGCACCCAGGGCTGCATCGGGGTAGGTTCATGCGGCTTCTCCTTGGGGATATCTTGCAGTTAGTGAGCCTTGCCAGCTGAAGCAGGGAACTGGCTAAGGCAGCTGCACCCTGGTCCAACCATCACAAAGCAAGAGACCCGAGAACTCAAAAGGCGAGGCTCACTGAGCCATTTATCCCTCCACCCTTCAGTTAACCCCACATTTGTTTTTATTGGCCAGGTTGGCACAAAAAACTAACCCGAGTGCCAAGGATTGAAAGTCTTACCTTTACATGGATAGTATGACCATTTCAAGAAGAAAACCGTAGCGGCAACGCCGCAATCCCATGTGTTACGGTGCAGAACTGTGCTCCACAGATTTTCTGGACTGTAATTTATGGCCTACCATCGGGACTCTTGTTCACAGTGCCACTGGGTCAGTTCAGACTGTCAAATTCTAGGTTAGTGGGCAGTCGCAAAGCGCTTATGCAACCGAGGGACTCACTCAGTATCAAAACGAAAAAGCAGCTCACTGCCATCAAGCCGATGCTGAGTCGTTATCGCCCTGTAGGAAGAGGCCGAACTGCCCCTGCGAGAGTTTCCTAAACTGCTACAGCTCTTTACAGGAGAGGCCCTGCCTTTCGCCCACAGAGCAGCAAGTGCTTACCAAGTATCCAAACCAGAGAAAGTGGATTCATAGAGCCAAGACGTGTTTAAAAGTCTTATTTTATAATACTTTGGGGTTTTAATAATATTTTATAATGATATTATATTATTCATGATAAGATAATGACATATTTTCTTTCTCTGAAGGCTTCAAGTTTGCAGCTAACTTAATTTTTTAAATTATTTCAATTCAAGTACCATAAAATTTTCTTTTAAAAACTGTACAACTCACCGATTTTCAGTATATATAGCCATCATCAATACCTAATTTCAAAATATTTTTACCAATTAAAAAAAAGCCTTATACTCCTTACCAGTCACTCCTTGCTCTTCCTGCTCTAGATGCTGCAAAACCAACCACTCCCGGGGAGTGGACTCGAACTCAGAGAGCCGCCACTGTACTCTCTGCCCCACGGGCTGTCAGTTCTGCTTCCAGCTCTTTCATTGACAGTGGCACACTCAGCTTTGACGTTCTGTTTGGGGGGTACATATGTTTATAATCATTCCATTCTGTTTGGGGGGTACATATGTTTATAATCATTCCATTTTCTTGGTAGATTGACCTTTCATCATTTTATAGTGTCCTTTGTGGTAGCAATATTTTGTCCAAAGGTTTACCTTATCTGATATTAGTATAGACACTTGAGCTCTTTGTTTTGTTGTTGGCATGGTATATCTCTTTTATCATTTCACCTTCAACTTATTTAGGTCTTTAAATCCAAAGTACATCCCTTATGCGTATATATATATTTTTCAAGTAAATAAATATACTAGAGGTCTTTATTGCAACAGAATGGATGGCACTCGCATTTTTAGTTCTCCAGAAGTGAGGTAGCATGAGTCCAAACAAAGTAAATTTAGAACATCTCCTAAACATTATTTCCTTGTTTTTGAAAATTAATTTAAACTGAACCAAGAGGCAAATGCATGACTATTAGTTGATGCTGTGGGGGACATGACTTTTTAAAAGTCGTTTTATTGGGGGTGCTTCAGCTCTTATTATAGTCCATACCTATATCCCGTGAGTCAGGCTCATTTGTACATATGTTGCCATCATCATTTTCCAAACATTTTCTTGCTACTTGAGCCCTTGGCATCAGGTCATTGTCCCTCCACCCTCTCCCCGCCCCCCATGAACCCTTGATAATTTATAATTTTTTTTTCATGTCTTACACCGACCACTGTCTCCCTTCATCCACTTTTCTGTTGTCCGTCCGCCTGGATGGGTGTGTATTTTTATTCATTCTTCCAATCTCTGCCATTTAATTGTAGTGTTTAGTCTATTTACATTTAATGTAACAGCTAACAATGTAGGATTTAAATCTCGCCTTTTCCTGTTTGTTTTCTACAGGTCTTATCATTGTGTTTTCTATTCCTCTCCTACTTTATCATTGTGTTTTCTATTCCTCTCCTACTTTATCATTGTGTTTTCTATTCCTCTCCTACTTTATCATTGTGTTTTCTATTCCTCTCCTACTGCCTTCTTTGCCGGTTTCATTCACCGGCCGCATCTTGGACCGCACCTTCCTTTTCTGCCCTCCAATGACTGCTGACACAAAGCTGTAATTATTGTTCAGTGCTGTTGTCATATAAATCAGGATAAACATGTACGATCATTACATTTTCTTAAGTTTCATAAGTCTAATAGTTGAGTCACTAATCAACAAATACATTCTAACCAACAGCAACAATAAATCCAAAAAAAGGGAGAATCTAATTTCCATTGTATTATTTTAAATGTGCAGTTTTCAAGAGAAACATTAGTAGACATGCAAAGAGACAAAAAGTGTAGTCCATCACAAGAAACAGCGATCAATAGGAAATCTTTACGCTCTGTGTTCTTCATCTTATGTAACGCGGAACTCTCCCAGGTAACTTAGTGGTCGGCTAGTGTGATTGGGCAGAGATTTTCCTGACTGCTTAGAGCCATTCAGGCTCCCAAACTTTGCTCG